GTGTGTTGACTGTGCGCCGGTGGCTCCTGACCCGCTGGTCCTGAGACTTGTCATAGGGGTAATTTGCCACCACCGCTCCACCGTGCAGATTGGCTGAGAGCACAAAGTTGTAGCTGCTGATCCACTGGATCACAGCCAATGTCTCCGGCTCCACCTGTGAGGAGAAGAGGGCCGGGGACAGGGAGAAGAGCTCAGCCATCTCTGGGCCAGCTGCTGCTCCATGCCAGGCTGTGGCGTGATCGGTCACATCAGACCTTGTCCCGCAGTGTGCGTGCTTCAGCCCTGGCAGCTTTCTCCGTTCTCTACCACCTGCCCTGGTGCACAGAGCCGGCTCCTCTGGTGCATACCCTGCTACAGCTCTCCCAGCGCAACCCCAAAACCCGAGGCACAGGCGATAGCCAGCATGTGCCACATCCTCTGCCCTGTGCATTGCAACCTTCTTCCCAAGCTAGCTGTGATGCCAGCCTCTCCTCCTGGCAGAGGTGCAAGCTGTGATATGGGACAGGATTACATCATTTCTGTACATGCAGAACGCACAGAGAAGGAGACAAGCACCGTGCAAGCCACAGGACAGTATATTTGCTTGCCTGAGTGGCTGAGCCACTCTTAAGAGGATGCTGTAGCTCTCACAGCATCCCAGACCGGTACCTGGCTTTTCCAGTTGTCAGGCAGTGGGATGTGGTGATTTGGCCCGCTGATCTCCCCACTGTAGTACATGAACGTGTTGAGGTCAGGGAAGTTGCGGTTCAAGTCCACTCCATTGGCGTTGTTCCTCCCCGTCAAGTACCCGTTGCTGTCTGGGCCCTGCGGGGCAAAGGTGCATCATGGAGGTGAGTACAGAGTGGGCGCAGGCAGGCTGGGTGTCAGGGGAGCAGGGACTGGCCATCACAACATGCGTGTTATTACCCTCCTGTGCCAAATAACTTCTGGGGAGGATATGGCAGGTGTAGGAAGCCTCCTCCATCACCTGCCAGGGCCACTTGGGGCAAAACACAGTGTAAGCCCTTGGCATGGGAGGTGAGGAGCAGCGACATTGTTTGAGGGTGACAAATTTGGCAGGGCATGGAAAGGAAGGATGCCCCCTCCCCATAGCTGTGGTGAAGAGCATCCTGCAGGGATTTGAAGGGCTTTCTGCCCCTACCCGGCTGGAGGAGGCGATCGCTGCCTGGTACCTGCTTGGCAGCCACTTCGTACCCGTCGGGGTTCATGGAGGGCATGATGTGGATACGTGTATCATGGATGAGGTGTGTGATCCGCTCGTTGCCACGGCGGTACTCCTCGCACAGGAACTCAGAGAGCTGCAGCAGCAGCTCACGGCCCAGCACCTCATTCCCGTGCATGTTCCCAACATACTTGAACTCCGGCTCCACTGGAGAGAACAAGAGAGTGATACCATCAGCGAGGGCTGGTACAGGGAGAAGGAGACACTTCCTATTGCAGGGAGCCTGGGCAAGCTCAAGGGACCCCCAATAAATGGTGTGAAATGGCCCCTTCCCTTGTAAAATGCCAACCTCAGTGAGGGAGAGCAGCATGATTCTCATATGGGCTCCCCTCTGGGCTGCTCAGGCCCTCCACTGGGCTGCTGCTCTCCTTTGGAGCGCAGAAGAGGACATATTTGCAGGTGGTTTGGTTTCGGGCTGGGGAGAGGCAGCACAGAGGGACTGGGAAGTGCCAGCAGGATTGCTGGGACCTCCTGGCTCTGTGGTGCGTGGCAGTGGAGGGGACAGGCCATTTCTCCTGCCTCTGCCCTTCACAGTTTGCTCTCAGTGCCTCTCACCAGTATGGCACATTCCTGGCTCTGCATGCTTTAAGGATCTTTTCATTATTCTGCAGGATAAAATCAATCCCTGGCTTGGGGCGAGTTGTGCTCTTTCAGTAGAAGGGCACAGTGCCTCTGGCTGCTGCCTGTCAGCCCCTGACTCCCATGCTGGTGGGAGGCATCAGCAGTTTCTCCTCTCCCTCCTCTTCACCTGCCTCCAAGGAAAAGGTTTAGGGGCTTCCTCACCCCCCAGGGACAGGGACAAGAGCCTGGAGAAACCCTCAGTGACTGAGTTGTATATGGATCAAACCATCCCTCGAGCAGCTTCGTTATGAGCAAAAAAGGTCTCTTGCCACTGACTTTTCTAAAATGACGTCTCAAAATACAGATTCAGAGACTGCAGGCAGACAGTGCCTGGAGCAGGACTCGCTGCTTAGCTGAAGGAGAGGCAGCACATGTGAGGGATGGGTCACATCTTCCCAGAGGGGCTTTTAGAGCAGTTACTTGTGGGAAAATAAAATGTCCCATTGCAGGCTGAAGTCAGAACTGGTAGTATGAGAGATACCAGGGGAATTTGGTTAAAAAGGGATGCTGACTTTCACATGAAAGGGTCAGGGAAAAACAGGGTGTCATTACAAATTCTGGCTTGCCAGAGCTTGAGATTCCCATTGCACTGTGAGTTTTCCAGCCACCAGCAGCAGTCAGACTCACAGCGGGAACGTGCAGCCCTGCTGCCATGCATGGTGTCATGAGGATCCCTGGGGCAAAACCACCGCAGCCTCACGCGTTGGACATCTGCTGCTTCCAAAATCCCCTGTGTGTTTGCCACACAGGGAGGAGACACCACTTCTGGACATGCTGAAGATGGATCCTAAAAAAAAAATCAAATTTTGGCAGAAGATTTTGCTTTTCCATATCTTTTGATTGCTATGCCTCAGCACAGGACACCACAGGTGGGCAATGTGTTTTGACCTGGTTAGATTTCAGAGGACATGAGAATTGATTTAATTAGGTAATCCAGTTATAAAAACTATAAAAACATCCTGGGGATATGTGCAGCCTTTATTTAAAAAAATAAGGTCTCAGCAGGGATTCTCCCCTGCTTTGTTTGAGTGTGCGGCAGGACTTGTCAGTCTTTTTCAATATGCCGACCCCTAAACATTATCCACGTGGCCACAAAAGCCCTAAGTACTGCATGTAAGCCCACTAACTCTAGGCTTGCTTTTCGGAGTTACTTTCCATGGCCTTCCAGGGAGTCAGTCAACAGATTCCCAAAGCTGTCATGCTACACGTTGAAAGTGCCAGCCTGAGGGCTGCTACAAGCATGGCCACAGGTCCATGCTGCCCACCTGGGGCAGGGAAGATCTTGGTCATCTCCTGTGGCCCTTCCAGCTGCTCACCTGTAGTTCTGCAGGTATAAAATCCACTGGCGCATTGCCAATGCCCTTTGCTCACTTCTTGCTTTGAATCAGCCCGCACTGTGCTTTGGAGGTGCTGAGGTGTCCTCAGTGCCATGCAGGTTTTCCTGTACCAAATGGGGCTGGCATGGAGGAGGTTAGGGTAGGAAGCCACCCATCCCGCCTCCCAGCACCCCTGAAGGCAATGGTCTGGGCCACAGGAGGGGAGCAGCAGGGTTTGGGGGGGTTGCTCTGCTGGGGGGGGTGTGTGTGTGCAGGTTCAGGTCCCGCTCACCCCTGCAGCGCTGCCGGCAGTTTTTCACATGACTAGGTTGCCTGGACTTGTCAGCCCCTGTGTTTAACCACACCAGTGAGTGAGCCAGGGTTTGAGAAGGCAAAAGATCCTGCAAAAAGTAGGCAGAGCCCTGTCTGCACCCACGGCCCAGGGGCACAAGGTGGAGAAGCGAGGGAGCCCTGTGTGCGTGCCCCCAGCCCGAGAGCCAGCTGGTCCCCTCAGCCCCCCAGGGGCATCTGGCTGCCAGCAAGGTCTGGCTCACAGCGTCTCCACGCTGCACAGGCAGCAGCTCAGGGGCCCCTCGCGCCCCAGCTCCG